TACGCACCACTCGAGAAGGTGTACAGCGACATCCTCTACAATCGCGAACCAGGACAAGTCACCTACAACTATACGATTACCTTCATCGACACCGCCACTCGATATGTCTGGCATCTAAACCTACCAAGCCGCGATATGGCACTTGCAGCGTTCGCCGCCTGGCTACCAGTAGCAGAACGAGAGTCGGGAGCACAGCTGAAAAGCTTCCAGTCAGACGGAGGAGGAGAATACACCTCTCAGCGCTTCAAGCAGTACCTGGCAGAAAGAGGAATCAAGCAACTCCTCTCCCTTCCCTACGCCCATCAGCAGCAAGGTGTCGCAGAACGAATGAACAGGACTCTTCAGAACAGCATGCGCAAACTGCTACGTGGCATGCGACTACCCAACCACCAGTGGCCTGCAGCAATGGACCACGCTGTCATGCTGCACAACTTGTTGTCGTCGTCGTCACTCCCGAACAACGCCTCACCGCATCTGCTGTGGATAGGGAAGCTGGGCAGCACAAAAATGTTACGAGTTTTCGGATGCATGGTACAGTTCAGACCCCCAGAAGCACGAGCGGGAAGATTTTCACAACGCGCACAGTGGGGACTACACCTCGGAATCGAGAAACATTACAACGCGTGGAAAATCTTCGACGTCCACACAAAGGAAACAGTAGCAGCACGTGATGTGATCTTCTACGAGCGACTCACCCTTCAGACGTACCTTGCCAACTTGCACGAGAATCGGGACCTCACAGGTGGCTTTCGTGGTGACCGAGCATTCGCCTCAGCAGCAGACGAAGCAGACTGGGACGAGCAGAACGTCGACAACGCATCTGAAGAAGCCGGACCTCTCCCGTTCTGCTCCGTCAACGTCCCCATGGACGAAGAAAATCCTCGCGAAAGTGCCAACGCCGAAGTCTTCTATCACTTCGCCGACAATGGTTACGTAACACCTGCAACAGCCAACACCAACGAAGCAGAAAGAGTAGGACCGAATTTCATACCCGACCCAGAAGCGGGAGATGAAGCAGCTTATCCCGAGGACACAACACTCCCCCGCTACTCACAGATCGGACTGCAGATTCTCGGCCTCGTCACCGCAGTCCATGGCTCCTCTCTTCCTAAAGAGCCTACGATAGTTCAACAGGCTCTGGGGGGGGAACACAAGGAGAAATGGCGTGAAGCCATGGACAGAGAGTTTAAAGCATTGGAGGAACGCAACACCTGGAAAGTCGTTCCAGCAAGCATAGCAAGAAACAAGACCATTCTTACCGGGAAGTGGGTCTTCCGCATCAAAACGAAAGCAGATGGCACAATCGAGAAGTTCAAGGCACGATGGGTCGTGCGAGGATTTGATCAGGAACAAGGCCGGGACTTCACCGAGACATTCGCCCCGGTTAGCCGACACACCTCTCTCCGAATCCTCCTTGCGATCGCCGCCATGAAGAAGAAGAAACTGCGACAAATCGATGTCGCTAACGCTTTCCTCTACGCACCCGTCGACGTCGAAATCTTCGTCGAGCTCCCTCAAGGTACTCACGGGGAACCCAATCAGGTCTGTCAACTACTAAAATCGCTTTACGGTATCAAACAGGCCCCACGACTGTGGCAACAGCACCTACACACCCGCCTCATCCGCATCGGATTCCGTCAACTACCTCACGATCAAGGCATGTATCGACTCACCAAAGGCGCCAACTACATCCTGCTCATTGTCTACGTCGACGATCTACTCTACATCGGCTCTACCGACGACATCGCTACCTGGTTCGAAGGGGAGCTGAAAAAGGACCTCACACTCACGGTCTCCACTACCGTCACTCAGTATCTCGGGCTCAACATTCGCGAAGAAGAAAATGCGATCTATCTCAGCGCCGAGAAGTACGCCGACACCATCGCCAAACGGTTCGCACTCACACCTGCTACTATCCACACGCCATACCGCTACACGGCAGGAAACGGCAAAGGAAGCTCCGTCCTACTTAAGACCGCCAGAATACGCGACTACCAGCGAAAACTGGGCTGTCTGCTCTTCGCAGCCGTCACCTGCCGCCCAGACCTGTCCTACTCCGCTAGCCAACTCGCTACCTATCTCAAGAGGCCCGAAGCAAAACACCTAGCAGAACTCGACCGTGCTCTTCACTACTTCGTGAGCACCGCAACGATCGGCCTGACGTACTACAAAGACACAACTACGCCGACGAAACTAATCGGCTATGTCGATGCCTATCACGCCGGCGACTCAGATAACAGGCGCTCTCGCACTGGCTCCATCTATCGCCTAGAACCTATCGGACCTATTTCCTGGCAATCGAGCAAGCAGGAACTAATTGCGCTCTCCTCAGCTGAAGCAGAATATATCGCCCTTTGCTCAGCCACCAAGGAAGGACTCTACCTTCGCGAGCTGCTGGAAGAAGCAAAGTTAGCCGAGTTACCCAACTTCACCTTGTTCTGCGACAACCAGGGCCTCAGATTCGTTTTTAGCTTGGCTGAGACGTCAGCCTTAGCAGGCTACGCTAGGCTGATCAATCAGAGTTGGTTCAAAAAAAATATCTGATTTTCAGACATGTCACCTAAAAAAACGCTGACTAATCAGCCTCACTAAAAAATGCAGGCTGATCTATGTTTAAGCACTTTGTTCATTAAGTTTAGCAGGTGCTGTGCTGTGCTGCCCAGGTGGTTGGTGAATGGCGCATAAGGGATGTGATTGGTTAAACAACCAATCACATCAATTGAAGCATTCTGTCGGTGACAACGAAGCAACCGACTCGTCGGGGAAATTCGTTTTCCCGCCGCGTCGGCGCTGTACGTGGCTACTTTTGCGTGATTGACGGTGGATGTATATGGACAGCCGAAAAACACAGCTCCGGCACGAATCTGTAATGGCGTGAGTTCAGCCTACACTCTCGTTACAAGTCTGATCAATCAGCGGACACTTGTAAAAAAACGCTGGAAAATCAGCCAATACTAAAAAAAAAAACCTGAAGAATCAGCCAACACAATTAAAAAAAAAACTGAATTATCAGCCAACACATCAGCCATATGTCTGGGAAATCAGCGTCCAGACCCTAAATCAGCCTTTTTTCGCTGACTCCTGAGGCCCTGGCGACAACCAATCCGCAATTCGCATCGCCAACAAGAGCGGATTCGCGAACAGAACGAAGCATATCGCCCTGCGATAATTTTTCGTGAAAGACGAAATCGAGAAAGGGAAACTCGATCTATCCTACTGTCTCACGTCCGAGATGGCAGCCGACTACTTGACCAAGAAACTTGGAAAACAGAAGTTCGAGTACTGCATGCTGCTGACTGGACAAAGCCACGTCACCATCAGCAACACTCCAGAAGCGAAGGGGAGTGTTGGGAACAAATAAGTTAAGCGCCTCTGTCGTGTCAGTACTCAAGACACAAAACGAAGCAGCTCAAGTCGAAGCAGCGCGAGTCAACCAACGAGGTTAACGTAACCGTCGGAGGTTACGGGAAAGTCAAAGGGCAGCGACCTTTGACCTGACGCAGCGCGACAGCAAGGACAAACAATTGACTCGACATTGAGCAGTTGCCCGAGTCGCACTGTATCGAACCGCAACAGTAAAATTAGTTATAATGTCTCTTCATATTCTCTGTACTCATCTATTTATATTGTTGCATCTCTTTGCTTTTATCAACTTACATTGCCCTCACATACTAGCGCAAGGTGGTTCAAGAGCTTTATTCAACGCTTCCGTTATTACAACATCTACTCAGACTTTAACTCTACAAGGATCCTAGGGCGTTTCAGCCCAACAGCAAGCAACTACAACACCCAGTACTCCCTGGAACCGTCGGTTGAGGTGAGAACAAGATGTTAGAATGTAATGAGAGAGAAGTGTGGATTAGGTAGAGGGGGTGGGGGTACAAAACTATTGAGCAATGTGTTGTAACCTGTAAGGGTAACCCCTACATAGCCTAAACAGCTATGAACATAATTATGTTTTGACACTAGAGCCACCATGCGCAGCGCGAAAACCTTTTCCAGCTGGATTTGATGAAGTTTAGTGAAATGAGACCAAACACCCATCTTAGAGTCTAAGACCTCCCTCAGGAGGGGTTATTACACCCCCTAGCAAGCACTACAGGTGATCAGGGTACCGTACATCGTTGGTATCTTCTAACCTCTAGAAGGACCTGTGAAACTTGATGTGCAATCCATACACGTGAAGGCATGTAGGCCCGTTAAGATACCCTTAAACTGCAGTTACCCTAGAAGAGTTAACCAATATTGGGGAGAACACGAACGATATTCTCCGTATCAACGAAAATGCGAACGCGGTTTGTGCGATAATCCTTCGTGACGGGACGTCCATACGGGATAATTTTCACATCCCAGTTACACTCTGGCATCGATGTCAGGATGTAATTGCGAGCCTTTTCGCCCGTCATGCCAACCACCTCTGGCCAAGAGGTCTTACTGCCATGGGTGGAAAACGGGAGGATAAAGGGGAAGTATGGTTTTGCAGGGAACATTACCGAGAAGGGAAGACACCTTAGGCAAAAAAGTGGGAGTGCGTTGGGAAGGGAGGAGAAAGAGTTTGATGGATTTGTGGACGAAGTTGTGGTGAGCAGCAAGAGAGAGGATTACATCAGGGGAGATGGGAGACGGAAGAGAGGGGATACGGAGAGGTGGGGAGAGGGTGAGTCAGGGAGGGGAGAGGAAGGAGGTGAGAAGAGGGAGAAGGGTCGAGTAGGGGAAAAAGGGGAAGGGGATAGGGAAGAGGACGGAAGAGAGGGGCAGAGGGGGGGGGAGAGGAGGAGAGAGGGTGACAGAGGGGGAGAGGTGGGGAAAGGAAGGAGGTAGGAAGTGGGAAGAGGAAGGAAGATTAGGGGGGAGGAGTGGACGAAAGGAGGAGAGTGTGGGGAAAGTAAGAAAGAGGCTTGGGAATAGATAAGCCACAATGCGATATCATCACAAATCTGAAACACATACTGCATGTAAAGAAAAAAACAATTATATTTCATACTAGAATTTCTAACGGCTCAGGCAACCCACCTGCTACAGGTCTCCTCAGCAATTTGCTTCGGTCGACGCGGCTTATTGGCGCTGCCGCCGCCATTCTTGTTCGGCTGCGCGCCACTGTTCTTCTGGTTATTCGGCGCATTTCCATTCGCAGAGCCGTTCCCCCTCTTCGGTCCCCCTGCAGCAGTGCCGTTCCCCCTCTTCGCCCCCCCTGCAGCAGTGCCGTTCCCCCTCTTCGGTCCCCCTGCAGCAGTGCCGTTCCCCCTCTTCGCCCCCCCTGCAGCAGTGCCGTTCCCCCTCTTCGGTCCCCCTGCAGCAGTGCCGTTCCCCCTCTTCGCCCCCCCTGCAGCAGTGCCGTTCCCCCTATGGTGCCCCTTGCTCGGATGCCCGCCCTTTGTTCGGTTCCCCGCCGCTACCGTCCCGTTCCCCCTATGGTGCGGATGGCGGGGCGGCGCGGTGGTGTTTACCCCCCTGGCCTGTTGAATCTCCCCCCTAGGCGGAGGAGTGCGCGAGGATGCGAGGAGAGGAATCAGAGCAACGGAGACGAGGAGGACCAGGAGGAGAGAGGGGCGCGAAATCTTCATGGTGATTCTACGGGGCGAGCGGTTTGAAAACGGTACGGTGAATGTAATGAGCGCCCTTGCTGCTGGAGATCTCGTGCGCGAAGACCTGAGGGGAATGGAGGGGATGTAACGTGTGTGTGAGGGGCGTAAGTGAGCCAGCCGAGCCGCTGTGACTCTCATCCACGGCTAGCCGAGCCTCTGTGGCTCTCAGCCTCGGCTAGCCGAGCCTCTGTTGCTCTCAGCCTCGGCTAGCCGAGCCTCTGTGGCTCTCATCTTCGGCTAGCCGAGATTATGGGGCTTTGATCCTTGGGTTGATCCTTAGCAGCAGATGCCGCAGACGACGGGAGGAGGATGGTACGAGGATGTGAAAAGGAAGGGAGGAGGATGAGACGACTCGGAGGTTGTGACATCGATCGGATAGGCATAGGGACGATGCGACGAGGATGGTACGAAGTAGGAAGCGAGGTGTAGGGGTGGGAGAGAGAGGTGGAGCGGCAAAGAGGGGAGGTAGCTGTCAAATCCTGACGTCACATGGATCGATGTACCTACGATGAGGTATGGAACAGCTTTGCTGACGTTTGCGTGGACCCAACGTCGTACTAGTTCTCAGCAACTGTGACAGAATATCGTAACGCTCGGATGCGACTCGCCGACGCAGAGGGGACGGTCCAACGCGACGCAATGCTGCTGCTTCTGCTGCGAAATTGTCCTGGCGCGGGGAAAGGGGAAATGGTGAAAGGGGAAGGGTGGGGGAGTGTTGGCGGGGGGGGGGGGGGGGGAGAATAGAATCAACTTCTGCTTCTGCTCAGTCATGTTTTGGGGGAGGCTGGAGATTGGAGGGATGTCGGGAGCATTGACGGGAGCATGCCGAGGTCGTCTCAGAGTTACGAGATCGTCTTGCGCTAGAATATTTCGACGCGGGCCAAGCTTTCGAAGAGCAGACCGGGATTGATAGGAACAATTTCAATAATCTGCCTAGACGACAGACAATAGCTGCAGAGACTGCGAGAAGAAGAGGGGGGAAGGAACGAGGTCTGGAGCCGTACACGGTGCGAAGCGTCGGTGATGAAGAGCGGAGAGGAACGAGATCCTGCTGGCAATGCGGGAAGAATCGATCCAGAGCCGCCTAAAACGCTGATTCGAAGCCTAAATTGTTTCGGACGCTGATGCTCAAATGGTTGATGACTAAAGATGCCAGCGCAAAAGCTTTAGAAATACGATTATCGAAACGAAAGGGGTCGCATGGCGCACGGAAACGCAAGAGCACCGACCATAAACACGGGCGACATGTAAGAATCTCGGACTGTTTAACTCCCAAGAAGCTGCTATGAAACTGGGTAAAATGCTGTGTACGAATCGCATGGAGAATTAGTGGTCTAAAACGTCATCGCACGCCTTCTGCAGCTTGCGGGTGATTTTGCCCCAGTTCGACCTCTTTCCCCATTCACCCATCTCGTCGGGTTGATTGGGACGTGACGTGAGGTTCCCGCCTAATTTGGCGCACCTCCCAAAGGCGCGCCGCGCATGAGCGGTTCCAGGGTGAGCCCGATCTGCAAAAGAAAATTTCCTGTGAAAACAGCCCAACCGTCCGATCGAAATCCTACCCTCGGGACGTTTGCGCGGCGCCCCAGTTTTGGAGAACAGCCGTCACTAGAACCCGCTTAGGGCGTGGAACATCCTTTTGAACAAGGCGATGGTCGACCAACAGCGACAGTAATCATTGTTGCGACCATCGCCATTGACCTACGAAGCAGACTGACGAAGACTGCCTGAAGAACGCACGTTCCACAGCTTATGCTTGTTGGTCGCCCCACCCGTTGAACCTCGCAGATAAGACAAGAAGTAGCGACGTCAGGAAAAAACATGCGAAATGAAACCAGGTGCTGTCGTGAGTGACGTGCTGCGACCCAATTTGCAGCACGGTGTTTGACGAAGCAGGCGCTTTCGTGTATCATCGCGACTCCGTATTTCTGGGCGACCAAGTGTTTCCAACTTGGGATATGGGGTTTTGCGTGTTACCTGACGATCACCATTGACGAGACAAATGTTCGACCAGAGAGCCGACGGGACACTTGTTCACAAGGATGTTCCATGCTCTTACGTCATTTTCAACAGACACATGTACTGTACTGTAACCACGATATTGTCGGTCAGCAAACACGTCGCCCGAGTCTCGACGTTGAGAAAAAAAGCACCTTGCCTCATCGGACCTGGCGATTTGGACCTGGCGATTTGGACGTGAGCCGAACGAAACTTTTCCCGCCAACAAACATACCTCGTCGGGGCAACAGAGGGACACGCAAAACAAATCTGAGGTTTTGTCCGTAGGGATGACATGTCAAAGTGGGAAGTGTCAACTTGGCATTTGCAGGTTGCCAGCCAATACAAATCGTCGGACACCTCTGAAATTGGCACAGAAAAACCTACAAACGAGAGAAGATTGTCGCAGGTGCCCATCTCACGACCAGATGCTGCCCAATCAGCACACAATATGTCTTTTGAATTGTTCGTTGCCTAGCAGATCTAGCCATGACAAATTCTCAAACCAATGAAATTGCATCGCTGATGTTCGTACATGCGCTTCGACTTGACACTTCCGCTACAGTACTTGACACTCTAATTTGAATGCGCTTCGGGTTGACTGGCTACCTGACATGTCAACCCTACGGACACGAACTGACTGGGTCCGATTCCTGCCTAGAGAAAGAATTGCTTCATCGTAACAAGAAATTGAAAGTCAACGGGGTCAGCCGCAAGCGATCTGACACCTCTCAAGAAAATACCCCCCAATGGTTGCCATGATACAACACTGAGAGAAAACCAATACAAAACTTGCTCCATAAGAAGCACTTGCAAAGGTATTAGTGAATTGAAATAAAGCTAGAGAACACATTCAAAGCATGGCTCTGGAAAATCGTGGGGATAGGCGAATTATAATCGCTCATGCAGAAAACAAAGATAATATCTATCATTAACGTCCGAATACCAGTAAATGTTGATCATGCAATAGACTTGCAGAATTATGTGATAATCAGTGATGCATCATTTGCAAGCGTTTTATGACTTCCCATATTATTACCCTTTGTCCACATCCTTTTGTCAGAACATTATAGCTTATGCTTTTGTGTAGGCTGTAGTGGGGTAGCCCATATGGGGTACAACCCAATTAGGGTTAGTACTTGTACCCAACTGTTTCATAGTTCATTCATTCTCGTTCACATTCTCTCATAGTATCAGAGCAGGTTCCCCCGTGGGAACTGTGCCTAGGGCCCACCACATCGACCTTTTTTTTCCCTGCCCGAAGCGCGCTACGCCCGAGTCGCACTTCGTCGAGCCGCCCTAGCGGCCCTTTCCCCTAGCGGCCCCGCCGCACGTCGCCTCGGCCCCGCCGCCCGTCGCTTCGGTCCCGCCGCCCGTCGTCGCGGCCCCGCCGCCCTACCTCGCGGCCCCGCCGCCCTACCTCGCGGCCCCGCCGCCCTACCTCGCGGCCCCGCCGCTCTACCTCGCGGCCCCGTCGCCCTACCTCGCGGCCCCGCCGCCCTTCTGCACCGGCCCCGCCGCCCTACTCCTGCGGCCCCGCCGCCCTATTCCTGCGGCCCCGCCGCCCTACTCCTGCGGCCCCGCCGCCCTACTCCTACGGCCCCGCCGCCCTACTCCTACGGCCCCGCCGCCCTACTCCTGCGGCCCCGCCGCCCTACTCCTACGGCCCCGCCGCCCTACTCCTACGGCCCCGCCGCCCTACTCCTGCGGCCCCGCCGCCCTACTCAGCGGCCCCGCCACCGTTCACCAGCGGCCCTGCCGCCCTACACCGCCCGCGCCGCCCGAGCTGCCAGAACAGCCCGAGCCGCCCGAGCCGCCCGAGCCGCCCGAGACACCCGAGCCGCCCGAGTCACCCGAGCCGCCCGAGCCGCCTGAGCCACCCGAGCCGCCCGAGCCGCCCGAGCCGCCCGAGCCGCCTGATCAGCCGAGTCGCCGGTGCCGCGGAGCCGCAGTCGCTACTGTGCCGTCCGAGCAGCCGTGTTGCCGGGTTACTGCACTACTGAGCTGCCCAACTTGCCCTGTCTGGTGAGACCAGCGCTTCTGTCACTGCACTGCCCCTGTCCTACAGTTGGTCTCGCTAGTCTACTGCTATCATGGCTTCCCCTAGTGTTCTCACTTTTGACGCTGAGGGTCGAGCCATTGACTTTGAGGTTTGGGTAGATGACCTGCAGCTCTTCTTACAGTGCGATAGGGCAGACGGTCTCTCCCTCTTTGACCTCACCTCTAGCGCCTCTCATGCCCCTGCTGCTGATGCTGACCCCACTGTTCGCTCCCAGTGGGCCACGCGCGATGCTGCTGCACGTCTTGTTGTGCGTCGCCACCTGCCTACCTCTGAGCGCGCGCACTTTAGTCAGTACAAGAGTGCTCACACCTTATACGACGCTGTAGTTGCGCACTACTCTTCCCCTGCCACTGCTGCACTAAGCCGCCTCATGCTACCGTACCTCTTTCCTGACCTTACTACCTTTCCCACAGTCGCTGACCTCGTTACGCACCTCCGCACTAGTGACACTCGCTACCGCGCCGCACTTCCTGCTGAGTTCTGCGCCAAGAATCCCCCCCCCATGTACATCACTCTCTATTATATCGTCACTCGCCTTCCTGACTCCCTTCGCGTAGTCAGGGACCACTTCCTCTCAGTCTGTCCCACCACTCTCACTGCTGACCTCCTAGAGAAGGCCCTCCTAGCAGCGGAGAAGAGCATAGTCGCTGTAGGAGCCTCTCGTGGTGACCCTCGCACCCCCATCTTTGAGGGGTGTTCCCCTTCCCCCCTGTTGCCCTCTTTCGCCTCTGCTGCTGCGGCCGACCTCGTTGGTCTTGAGTCGGTCGGTGCGGCGTCTGCCCCTAGCGGGAGACGCCGCTCTGGCAAGGGCAAGGGGGGCAAGGGCGCGGGTGGGGCTAGCGGGGGTTGTGGAGGTGGCGGTGGGGGCGGCGGGGGGAGTGGGGGTGGCGGTGGGAGTGGTGCCGGGGGTGGAGGTGGCGGTGGCAGCGGCGGAGGCGGAGGCGGAGGCGGAGGCGGAGGCGGCGGTGGCGGTAGCGGTGGGAGTGGAGGCGGCGGTGGCGGCGGAGGTGGAGGCGGCGGTGGTGGAGGAGGTGGAGCTGGTCGAGGTGGTACTTCTCAGCAGAGCGGCTCCGGGAGTGGTCAGCGCCAGCAGCAGCAGCAGCAGCAGCAGCTGTCAAACAATATATGTTTGTGTGGTTCTAGGCTGTAGTGGGTCACACCATAGGGGGTACACCAGTTTAGGGTTTCATATTTGTACTGTTGTTCCTGCTAGTCACATCATTCCTGTTTCTCATTCTGACAGCAGCGTTCTCGGGACATCCCCCCTCATCAGCAGCTCCGTGAGTGGTACACGCAGCGTCAGCGTGGTGGGGGTTTTGGCCCGTGCACCTACGTCCTCCACTCCGGCGACCGCGCGGGTGAGCAGTGTGGGGGTGCTCACCCCACCCAGCGTTGCTTTGGCCACCTGACAGACGCTTGGCGTCAGCAGTTCCCGGAGGCTAGTGAGATCCCCCGCTGGGGAGAGCTGTCTAGGGCAGGCGTAGCTATCTATGATCTTGACTTTGATGCTATCCTTGCTGCCATGTATGCTGTGACTATTAGTGATGAGGGTGACTGTTACCGGTGTTTCCCGCCCGACCCAGTCATTGGTACTGCTGCTCTAGGTACTGGTGAGGCTGCTGCTCTAGGTGCCAGTGCGTCTGCGCCCTCAGGTGCTGGTGAGTCTGCGCTCTCAGGTACCACGTCGGCCTCGGCCTCCCTCACCTTCACACTTGACTCAGGGGCTTCTCGCTCCTTCTTTCGAGACCGCACCACACTCACGCCGCTTGGTCGGCCAGTTGCAGTCTCCCTGGCAGACCCCTCTGGGGGTCCTGTCCTCTCTCACTTCTCCACTGTCCTCCCGTGTCCGGCTGCCCCCTCTGGCACCTTGTCTGGTCTTTATCTCCCCTCGTTCTCTACAAACTTGGTGAGTGGTGCTGACCTGCAGGATACGGGGGTTCACCAGTTCACTCCTTTGAGTCAGCGGGTGACCCACTGCACGGACGCTCGGACAGGCCGACACTTGGCCACGTTTACACGTCGGCCGGGGTCGAGCCTGTACACACTGACCACTGAGTCTCCTCTAGTCACTGCGTCTGGTCAGGTAGCTGCGTCGGGTCAGGTGTTTGCTGCAGCGTCCAGGTCTGGTCCTGAGTCTGCCCCCTGCTCGTGTCGCCTCCTGTCTCACAAGACTCTCCTGTGGCACCACCGTCTTGGTTACCCCTCCCTGCCTCGTCTCCGAGGCATGGCTTCCCGTTTCCTTGTCTCTAGTCTTCCCCGGTCCCTCCCTCCCCTTCCTCCGGGGCCTGGTCCTTCCTGTGTCCCCTGTGTCGAAGGGCGGCTCCGAGCTGCCCCTCACTCCTCTCAGTTTCCCCCGACAGAGGCCCCGCTGCAGACGCTTCATATGGACGTGTGGGGCCCGGCCCGCGTCCGTTGACAGGGTCA